CTAAAAAGAATTGATTTGGTTGATAAAAGTTATATATAATATAAATATTTTAAAATAAAGTGTATGCCCCATGCACAAAAAAAAAAACTGAAATAAGTGTAATTAAAAAAATATTTATTTATTTTTTAATTTCTTCTGCTTGAAGTTCTCAAAGAGTTTTTCCAAGTCTTTTTTTTTCTTTTCTTTTCTTTTCTTTTCTCATGTTAATGTATTCTTGAAGACAGTACAGACCAGCCATGAAATGAGGCATGTATCTGTTCTCTACCCCGTTCAGTGATTCACGGATGTCCTACCAGTTCTGCAACGGTTGGATTATTCATACATTTCAAACCGATACGTCACTTGGCAGAAGATGTCTGTAAGTGAAATTCAACATGTGAAGGGTGTGAGTTATGGAAGCTTCTGTAGCCCTCAAACCTCATGTGTTAAACTTACGATATTTACTGGGTTTTCTAGTGAATATAATTTCAGCGACAGTTAGTTGGCGCTATTGGCAAGAAGGTCTTCATAAGTAATAGCCATTAGAGAGGCACATTAGAGCCCACAGAGGAGAAAAGGCGGTAGATTGGAAACGATAGATGCTCCAGTGTTGGGGAGGAGAGAGCGTGGGTGTGAGGAGGCGCTGAAACACTTGAAGAAAAGTTGTAGCACGTGTTTTGGTTTATTTTTTCATCATTCGTTCTGATGGATTTATCATAGTTGTGTCATTTTTCTCCTACCGAATTTGTCCCTTTGTGGGCCTATTTCAATTAACAGCACGGGAGATGGGTTTTAGCGAACTTAACAAACAGAAATAATATGAACTCGAAGAATACAGATCGGGTTTGATCATAATGAATCATAATGAAGGAAGAGAATCGTTTTATCGTATGTATGATTCCCAGATTTCTCCAGCATGGATGGACCCGGATAATTCAACGGCTTTTCCGGTACGTTTATATATATATATATATATATATATATATTATATTTTTAATATTTAACACATTTTAAAAAATATTTTAATGTATTTTCGTATATTTTCTTCTCTATATTTCTACTAATGTATATTTATTTATTTAATTTTCTGTGTTTTTTTTTATATTAGTGTTACATTCCTATTATATTCCTGTTATATTATATTCCTACTTGTTTCACTTCTGTTTCAGCTTTTATAACAATTTCTTACTATGTGTAAGTAAGTTGTTGTTTTTTAGCATGTAAGTTTGGCAGTGTTATTTTTTAGGATTACTGATAAACTACTGTTGTGTGATTTGCATTATTTATATTTGTTATTTATTTTAATTTTAGTTAAATGATGTCTGAATTTATTATGTCTGTATAGGCCTTTTATGAAGTTTTTAGTTTTATTTAATTTGAGTTATTTTAATACTTCAACAAACGAAATGATATATATATATATGTGTGTGTGTGTGTGTGTGTGTGTGTATGTGTGTGGTTGTACATACATATATATGTAGTTGTTTTTTTGGTGTCTGACTTAGTGTTATGTTAGAATCATTATTATACTCTTATACCTTTTGTTCTTTAATATTTTGAATTGTTTTTAGCTTTATTTTTTGTTTTTCATTTAAATGTTAAGTTTTGAAATTTTGCTGTATGCATTTGTCATTTTTATTTAATTTCTTTATTTTTTTAAATGTGTATAAGTAGTATTTATAAAGTTTTAGCTTTTAGTTTTGGATCTGTTTTTAGTTGTTTTAATACTACAATTGATTGCTTCTGTTGTCCTCATTTGTAAGTCGCTTTGGATAAAAGCGTCTGCTCAATGACTAAATAAATAAATAAATAAATTCCACCTCTACTGTGTAATTCTGCACTATCATGTATGTCTGCACTATGTCCGTATTTTCTTCTGCACTGGAAGCTCCTGTCCCCAAGTCAAATTCCTTGTGTGTGTGTAAACATACTTGGTAATAAAGCTCTTTCTGACTTCTGACCGACTTCTGTATATTTTCAAAATCAACTAAATCAAACAGAAGAAATACAACAGGACAGATAATAATTGTTCAGTATTGTGAAGATGAAAAATGTTTTCATCTGCAATTCTTATAATTGTTTTTGAGCCTAAATTTGTATAATTGTTAACATTATTTAATAACAAATTCATTTATTGCAGAATCTTACTGAGGACACTACATCCAGCCCAAATCTTGATGTAATTACATCTAGTCCAGATCTTCAGTGGCTTCTGCAGTCCTCTCTATTTTCCCAATCAGAGGCCACCTTGGGAACATTTTCCTCATTCGCACCCACCACCATGCCCAACTGCCCCTGTTTGTCACAGTGCTCCAGTCCTGACCCGTCCTGTAATGGAGCAGTGGGGGACAGTTCAGTAGGACATGCTAACAAACATGTAAGTTACTGATATTTCTGAAATGTTCAGAGTTTAGAATGCAGAATGTAGTGAAAGTAAAGTTCCGGTGATTCATTCATTATGGTAAAAGAGTGAAATGACTCACACCTGAATCACAAAGGGGCATGAGGAGTGAGTCAGCGCTGTAGTATTTGAGCGGGAATCTTAAAGCGCATGGTCAGATGGATGGATCATGTTGTCATTGGTGCCAATGGATGAGTAACAGGAACAGCATATTTGGAATTGGGTAGAATTGCTGTGTGTATGTTTTTTTGATATCATTCATAAGATGGCAGCACCATCACCCTTTTAGACTGAATCTTGGTTCTTAAATGAAATTTGGAATTGCCTTGCTAACACCTAACACCTCGGCCTTTATAGATGTCCTCTGAGGAACTTGACAGGATAAGGATCCGCAGGGAAAGGAACAGAGTAGCAGCCGCCAGGTGTCGGGACCGTCGTCAGATGCTTATATACACATTACAGAATGTGAGATTAGTACTTATTTGTGCTATAAACCATGTTTAGCCGTTAGCCGTGTGTCCTGAGCTTGTGCTTTCTCTTCCAGGAGACGGAGCATTTGGAACATGTGAAGACACAACTGGAGGAAGAGATCGCTACTCTTGAAAGGCAGAGAGAGAGGCTTGAGTTGGTTTTTGAGGCACACATGCCCATCTGCAAGTTAAATGACCCAAACCCAGAATACTGATGCTGGTCATGTTTAGTGCTGAGTCTGCTGGTTCAGATCAGCTGTGGATTATATAACATAATAAGCGTATATTTGTTAAAGAAAGCGAAATGTTAAAATATATTTCAGTGATACCTTGATAATTATTGTATTGCATGCACATTTCATTTGACTTGTTTTCAGAATAAACCACAGTTTCAAATGTCGTTGTTACTCTATCAAATGTTTTTGTACCATGGGTGCAGCAGCAGGTGTGGACCTTGGTTGGGTGCCAGCTCTATAAATTATATGTTTATTACTTAGCTAATATGTATGCTGTTCAAAAGTACAGTAAAATCAGTAATGTTGTGAAATATTATTACAATTTAAATGAATTGTTGTCTATTTTAAATTTATTTTAAAATATAATTATTCCTGTGATGGCAAAGTTGAATTTTCAGCAGCCATTACTCCAGTTTTCAGTGTTTTTCAGAAATGATTCCAAAACTGTTGCTCAAGAAACATTTATTTTACTATCAATGTTGAAAACGGTTGTGCCACTAAATATATTTTTGTGGAAAGCTATATATTTTTTCTGCATTCTTTGATTAACAGAAAATTTAAAGGAACAACATTTATCTGAAATTGAATTTTTGTAACAATAAGTCTTTACTGCCAATTCAGTCCTTGCTTAATAAAACTTGCTTAATTTCTTTCAAGATTTGACCCCAAACTTTTGAACAGTAGTTTATAGCTAATAAAAACGTGTGAATAATATTCTTTAAATATTTGTACAGTAACATTTAATAAAATATTAATATTTAATCAAATATATTTAAAATATAAAATGTGAATCAAATGACATTTTATAAATATGATAAATTACATTCACAATATCACACAATTTTATTTATTTTTACAAAATATCACAAAATTATATAATTATTCCAACGCCAACTGATGCTCCACTTTAACATTACAACGAATAATAACTTGGGAGGAGATTTTAGGAGAAAATCAATACTCAAGCAAATATAATTCTTTAAGACTTGGTTTGTGCAGATTTAGTTAAATATTAACATTACCGATCATTCAATTTACCAAAAATGCCTTAATACACGTTTCCTCAGTCTGTTATTGTAAGTTCAGCTTGAGTAATACTGTAAGTCTGAGCCAGAAACATTACACAAGCACAAAATTAAAATGATATAGGCATTAAGTTCTACGTTTTTCTGCACATTTTTTAGTTTTGGTTGCAACTTTGTGCTTTGTTTATTCCTTAACAGCAGGTGGCAGTCACACATGAGCAGACGTTCAGTAACGCTGCATGAATGCTCGACGGAGGGCAATGTCTATGGTGAATGTAGTTCAGCTTGGGTAAAACCAGAAACTGGATCCAGGCGATTGTGAGGAGTTTGACAGCTTTTGCATATACTACAGTATCAGTCCGCGTTCATAGATAATCCTGGTATTATTTGTTTGTGCTTCAGCATAAAGCGCATTAACAGATCTGCACCTGCTGCGCGTTTGGAATTGTATCTGCGCAATAAACTCAGCTCGCAGATGCGTCCTAGAGAGCGATACAGCAGACGCCACTTTCTGCGGCGTTCTAGCATGAGCTAACTGCTCCTCTTTGACTGAATTTTTCAGTGCAAAGCATAAATAAAACGGTAAGTTTTCATCATCAGTTTGAGGTCATCTTTCTCTGAATAAGAAGGTTCTCATGTATCATTTTGCTTTTTAAATCTCTGCACATCTTATAAAAACACCTACAACATATAAACAGTTTATTACAACAGTTTTCATTTTAAGAGATTGCATTTGTTGTTGCAAATCAAAGTTATGTTTGTCAAAAGCAGCTGTGACCACTGTTTGTATAGCAAATTATTTTTAACTATGGTGTCGTCTGCAAACTTCAGGAGCTTGACAGAGGGGTCTTTAGATGTGCAGTCGTTGGTGTACAGGGAGCTGTACTGTAACTTCAGTACTGTAAATGCGTTTGTGCTATTGTGACTTAATACAACCAGCTTAACCAGTGAAAGCTTTTAGAGTTATAATTACAAGCTATCATAAACCTGACAAAACCTAGAAAACACACAGGCACATCTTTTGTGTTCATGTTTCTGTTGTGTTCATCTTCTTACTGTTTTGCTTGATCTCTCTCCTCCATTCATCTTTCTCCTCATATGCTCTTTTCTGTTCCTGGCACACTTTTCACACTCTCCCCTGTCTTCTTATTGACTCAGCCATGTCTCTCTGCAGGGACTATGCTGCCATCGTGTTCTTCGCTAACAGCCGTTTTGAGACAGGGAAGAGAAAGCTACAATATTTGTCTTTCCAGGACTTTGCCTTTTGCGCTGGTCAGCTCATCAGCTACTGGACCGTGGGAGCAGTTGGTAAGATGTTCACCTTAAAGATACAGTTCACTCAAGAAAAACTACAATTCTGTCATTTACATTACTACAGCTGCCACTACTGTCAGATTGCATGATATTCCACCAGTCAGATCATCTTTGGTGAGTGTCTTTGTACAGTATGCAGTTCTGAAAGCAGGGAGGTGACAGTGCCAAAGTCGGGAAGTATTCCCCAAATTCTATTAGGGAAATATTTGTGAGATCCATAATGGGAAAGGTAATGGAAATGAGGCAAAATTAATTTGAAAGGAAATGCATTACAGGTACTGTATATGCATTCTCACGCTCTGTTTTCTTTCTTTCATACTTTCTTATACAACATGATGGAAGACTTGGATGCTGATCTAGAAAAAGAGTTTCTCCATGACTTGAAAGACTTGAAAGTTTTGGTTAATAATAAGGACATGTTGGACCAACACAAAAGGCATGCGAATAGTTTATTCACATGGTCAAATGTAATGCTTATGACACACTATCTCTAACATATCTGTCCTTTCTACTAACATTATAGCTTGGTGTGTGCACAGCTTAGAGGGAAAATTAAAGTCTTTAGTGAGATGGAGGCCAGTTTTAAGGTGAGAAGCATGAATGTTTTTAATTGTAAGCATTTTTTCATACTTTTTAAACACACACACAGATATTTTTTTAAATCATATTTTTATTCAGCAAGGGCACCTCAAATTAATCAAGAGTGACACTAAAGACACTTACAAAGTTAGGAAAGATTTCAGTTTCAAATAAACGCTGTCTTTCTATTCATCAAAGAGCCCTAAAAAGCCCAAATCAGTATTTTAGAATGATTTCTGAAGGATCATGTGACACTGACGACTGGAGGAATGGCTTTGCCATTACAGGAATATATAACATTTATAATAAATTACATTTCACAATATTACTGATTTTATTTTATTTCTGATCAAGTTAATGCTGCCTAAGTAAGAATAAGAGACTTCTTTCAAAGACGTAAAATCTTACCAAACATTTGAACAGTAGTGTGTGTGTGTGTGTGTGTGTGTATATTATATACACGTTTTGTTTATTAATTTGTTTTATTTATGTTGGATGACATGGATGCTTATTGCTGTGGGTGAACTTCAGAATTTGTCAAGAGCTCTAGTTAACATCGCCTCAAAACTCACACACACCAAAGATTTCCGAGATCTGTTCATCGACCTTGTGGAGAAGGTAATGCACTGACACTGTAGATAAACTGCATACCATGAGGTGATATTTGTCCCTGAATAGTCCCAGGTCAAGTGTGACAGAAGGATTATCGGTTCTTCTTTCAGTTCATTGAACCATGCCGGTCAGATAAATGGACAATCGGAGACCTCAGACTTTTCCTCAAGCACTACAGCAGCTCTGTACACACGCTTGAGGCTTTCAGGTTAGTATATATGCATTTATGTGTGTTTGTGATCAGTGTTGGGGACAGTTACTTTTAAAAGTAATGCATTACAATATTGTGCTACTTCCTAAAAAAGTAACTAATTACTTTTTATGGGAAGTAATGCGTTATGTTTCTTTTGAGTTACTTTTTAAATCTGGGCAGGGCTTGCTTGTTTGTTTTTAATATAAAAAAGTTCTTCTTTTACATATGTAAAAGCCCTTTCACACCAAAAGTGAAATGAATACGCCTCAGGCTGAAGGAAATGTAAATTCACGTCTGTACAGTACAGTAGAGGGCGCAGCTGAAACAAATCGCATGAAGAATATGGCGCAGGAGAAGAAAGTTCAACACTATTCAACAATAACAAAAATGAAACACAAATGTTTCATTTTTGCTTAGTATGGATAAATTGGATCATCGAAGGTCACTAGTAAAGACTTTGGTTAATAAAATAGGATTAAATACATAAATGATATTTGTCTTATTTAAAATATTTAATTATTGCAGGTTCGTGTCATATTCTGAGTTTGCATTTGACTGTTGTTATTGATTTTGAGGAGTACTAAATCTGTTTTTGTGCAGGTGAGATGAGTAAATACATGTTCATATTTAGTCTAGAACTACAGTAAGATCATGTTCACACACAACGCCTCTGCACTTACTCCTGATTTCTCTCAACATGGCAACACGAAAGCTGTCAGTCAATACATGCCAAACAAAGTAACTGGAGTTACTTATTTGAAAAAGTAATGCATTACTTTACTAGTTACTTAAAGAAAGTAGTCTGATTACATAACTCGCGTTACTTGTAATGCGTTACCCCCAACACTGTTTGTGATCTCTTTCTCGTACTAAAAAACAACAACAAAAACATTTGCTAAACGTATGACATGTTTTTTTCCACAGGCATCAAGTAATATGGGACAGATACATGGGTGTCATCAAAAGCTGCATCCTGAAAATGTACCATGACTAGAACATATTTCCCACTGTAATTTTTTTTTTTTTTAAATTTACGGTAAAAAAACGGCAGCTGTGGAGTAGGGTGAAGCTGCAGGCCCGGAGGCCCAACTGCACACTCAGACCTGCACGCTCAGACCTATCGGTTTTTTCAGACAGTGCCACCTGCTATCCAAACAGCAGGAGGCATTGTCTGAAAAAACGATAGGTCTGAGCGTGCAGGTCTGAGTGTGCAGTTGGGCCTCCCGGCCTGCAGCTTCATAATGTTGCAGCTGTGGTTGCCGGAATTTTACCTTACGGTAGCAACATTTTAGGTTTTACAGTTTTAACTTAAATTTACAGTTAAATACCGTAATTTCATTAACTGATATAATGTTAATATACCAACCTTATTGAAGTACTGAAATCTGTTTTGTACCTTGTAATACACTGATAAGCACCAAATGCAGGTGGTGATGAGAAAGTCACATGATGAACCAAAGCCCATCACAAGCAGCTTTTAAATAATAACATATATAGAAGGTGCACAGTGTCATTCACACAAACACCAAACACCATCATGGTAACACACATGAAACTGAAATAATGCAATAAACATTCATTTAACAACATTAGGTGTAACACACAACCCTAATGTACAAAACTGATAAGAAAAAACTAAGAAGAAACCGTTATTTCAACAAAAAAACATCAAATTTGAAATGCAATTCAGGGAATTCTGGGAATGTCAATTTATGGTTATTCACTTTACGGTCTTTTTTACTTCCAAAAACGGTATACTACCGTAAAATTAATGTCTAATACATGTAATGTCCAATACAGTTTTTCACCGTATATAGTAGGGGAATTTACCGTTAACCATTTAACAGGTTTTTACTGTAGCATTTTTACAGTCTTTTACCGTTAAATTCACGGTTAATTTTTTACAGCATGGTTTCCAGTTAGATTGACCAAAATTTTCTTCAAACCTTTAAAGAGCTAGTCGCCCCCTTGTTTGTAAATGTTGCTACCTCAGCTCCCTTTGTATATCACAGTATTCTTGTACATTTGGTTTAACTTAAGTAAAAAAATAATAATAAAGTGTTGTCTACAAATCTGCCTTATTTGTTGTTTGTAAAAGTGGTCATTAGGAATGTCCTTACTTACTTAATATTCAGGGTAATACATAAAAGTTTTTTATTGGCATCTATGGATCCATGAAGAACCTTTAGCATCCATGGAACCTTTTCGTTGCACTAAAGGTTCCTTATAGTGAAAAAAAAGTTTCCTTAATTTATTAAAATGTTCATCACACTAAGAAAAATGGTTCTTTTAAAGGAATGGTTCACCCAAAAATAAAAATGTACTGAAAATTTACTTACCTTCAGGCCATTCTAGATGTAGATGAGTTTGTTTCTACATCGGAATGTATTTCTACATCTGTACAGATTTGAAATTTGAGTTTAGCATTACATCACTCGATCACCAATTGACCTTCTACAGTGAATGGGTGCCTTTGGAAAACATCACAATAATCCTCCAGTAATCCACATGACTCCAGTCCATCATTTAATGTCTTGAAAAGAGAAAAGCTGCGTGTTTGTTAGAAACAAATCCATCATTAAGGCGTTTTAACTTTAAACTGTCACTTCTGGCAAAAAGACAAGTCTATAATCTATAATAACGCTTGCTCCAGTGAAAAAGTCCATCCCCTGTTGTTCTCTCACATCAGATCCACTGACATATTTGTTTAGAACTGTTTTGGACTGTTTTCACTCATAAACAGTGCTTGATCTGTGCATATTTCTCTCCTGATTCTGACTCTTGATGAATTTATTATAAAAACTGTTTTTTGCTTCACAAGACATGAATTGATGGACTACAGTTGTGTATTACTTGTGGTTTATTGTGATGTTTTTATCAGCTGTTTGAACTCATTCTGACGGCACCCATTCACTGCAGAGGATCCATTGTTGAGCAAGTGATGGGATGTTAAATTTCACCAAACCTGTTCAGATAAGGAACAAACTCATCTACGTCTTGGATGGCCTGAAGGGGAGTACATTTTCATTTTTGGGTGAACTATTCCTTTAAGACTTGTCCACTGAATGGTTCTTTGGGGAACCCAACAATAGTTCTTCTATGGCATTGCAGTGAAAACCCACTTTTGGAACCTTTATTTTAAAGAGTGTAGAGGAGGGTAATTATCTCAAAGTGTGCTTCAGTGTTTTCCCACAGTGAAGTAGCGACCTGTTTGTGTGCCCAGCAGGTGTGGGTCAGCAGCAGGGGGCTACAGTTGGCTGGTCAGCTCTGAAGTGGATAGATGAGGAGACACTTTTACTACCTTATAAAAGGCCAGACCTAGGACAGCTGTCACCCCCTACAAATGGTCATGGAAAATTCCTCTGAATTTCTGCAGAAAAGTCCTCATGGAAACCCTGGCACTCCTGCTGTTTCTAAAAGTAGGCTATCTCTGTTGTTTCCATCAAAGCCATTGTCTTAATGGTGCTCAAACCTTTGTGTAATGAAGACACATGATGTTCCTGGCACCGGGTAGTGTTTTACAGTTAAATCGGGAGGCCTTGCCTCCTTTTTTACCCTGTTAATTTGTGTCTGCATTCCTTTTCGACATCCCCCAGTAAATATCCAGCAGTGTCAGATACAAGCAAGCTCCACCAGGATGAAAGTTAATAAGGCAAAGTGTATTAAAAATGGGAAGTAATTAAGGTGGGTGGAGGGAAAGAAATGGGCCGTCCTAACCTCCTTTCTATAGCATTGCACCTTTCCTCACATTCGTAATACACTTTCAAACAGCTATCACTGCCCAGGTCCTGTCTGCTGTCACAGAGCTCTAAAAACAGTCCACTAAACGGAGAGGGAGAGAGAAATCAATAGGCACAGAGACAGAAGAACGAGACAACTTCTGCTGGACAGACTTCAGAAAGTGAGTTTCAAACCATCTGTATTTAACTCCTGTGCATTTGCAGTTTGTAAAATTGAGCATAGCAGTACATAATGCAAGTGAGATCATTCAAGCATACTTGGAGAGAAAGACATTCGATGAAGCGTGCATGAGAAATGTAGCATTTGTCATTCCAGGACTTTAAAGCTCATTGTTGCCTTGTAATAATGAAATGAATGACAGAAATGTAGTCAATGCTTTCTAACCATGCTTAGATGTGACAGAAACCTTTAGTTTGAATTGAAAACAGTTGTAGTTAATGACTACAGACAAGGCTTGTTTTTGGACGAATCTGAGTGCATGGAATTGCTTGTGTCATATCCTGTAGAGTTCAGACACTGGCCATGTTTCTGCCTCTTAGGCAGTACAAACAGTAGAGCAAGTCCCTAGAAATCAGTAGAAAGTCATGTCAGTGTATTTACAGAGGGCATCTAAAAACAACAAGTGATGTACAAGAGCAATTAAAATGGTATAATGCATTTAGCCATAAAAGCAAACAAAGCTTAAAATAAACCCTGAAAGCTACAGAGAAAGATCATCTTTAATCTTGAAATGCGAGTGTAGGCAGAAGTAGATGTTATGAGAGTCCAGGAGCGATAATGATGGCTGAGGAGGTCTATGATTTGTTTTACAGCTATAAAAACAAATAATAAGACCTTAAAATAAATTACTGTAGTTAAGAGAGGCCAGAACAGGTGAAATACTCTGTGAAGTCTCACATGGTGGTAACTCGAAATTATTACCTTAAAGAGCTTTTTCAACCTGATTTAACCTATAATTAGTTTTGTTTGTATAAACTGTGTATTGAGGTTGATTCTGTGATGTTAAATATATTGTATTTGACGTGACCAAAACCAGTTAATTTAAATGTTACTTTGTGTGTGTGTGTGTGTGTGTGTGTACAGTGTACAGTGTACAGTAGTCAGGAAATGATGGATGTAGTAGGTGTGAATAACTATCTCCAGATCGCTGAATGTGAGGAATGGAAAATCCATCATGCAATATCTGATTATATGCACCAACTTGCCTTGCTTAGTTGGCAAGATCAAAATAACGGTACAAAATCCCAAACTTGCATTTATCACTTATCATATATGCTATTGAGTGATATCTGTTGAAGAATTATAGCCATATTAATGTGATAAAAAGAATGAATTTTCATGCTGGTTCAGGCAGGTTTATGCTAGTTAATGGGTAAGGTATCATGAATTAACAACGAACAGTATTCTTCTAAATTAGATTATTTTTTTTACATATGCCAACATAAATTGTATAAATTAACATAATTTAATCTATTATTAACAAGCATGAATTGAGTATTACACAAAAGTGCAATTATAAATTAACATTTACCTAGATCAGTGTACAGTATCAATGGGATATCGTTTTTATTAATATTTTGAATTAGTTTTTATTTTTATATTTTCTGTTTGTATTTGAATTTAAAGTTTTAATAATTTTGTTGTTTTTGTCATTTTATTAGTTTTTTTAAACATCTATATATACTATTTAATGATTATTGTTTTAGTTTCATCAAGTTAAATAAAAAATGTAAATGGTTACCATGGCAAATAGATTAAACAAAATATGTTTGTGTTTTTTTATATATTTTATTTCAGATAAAGTTTATTTAAAGTAACAAAAAAAATTGTTTTAATGGTTTTACATTTAGTAACTATGATAATTCTGACCTAGATTATTAAATGCTATAAAACACTAAACTTTATTGTAAGTGTAAATTGTAAAGCTAGTTAAGCTAGTTAACAATCCTAATGGGGACACCAGCACACCAATATCCAAAACAAAACATATGGAGGTGATCAGCAATGCTGGGCTTTTCAACGGGGCATTGTCACTGCTTCCAAATGTGTATGTGTGTACTATTCCTATTAGCACGTTTATTTGCAATTACCTTTGTTGTTCTTTTTTTACAAGGTCTCACCCCCACCTGTCTGTCTGCCACCTCCTTATTTTCATAGAGGAGACGACGGGAACTGACCAGACCCCTTTGCACGTCTGTGCTCTCTCTTATTGTTCTCTTTGGTGTGAAATGTGCCTTAACGACAACTATACATTTGTTCATCCATCCAGCTGTGTGTGTGGCAGGGTGAATGTCCTGTACCCTGTAACTATGAAGGCCACATATGTGCTACTTTGCATGGGTCTGGTTGTTCTTCCTGCTACAATCTGTCAGTCTCCTGCTGAACGTGACTCTTACACAGTAAGTAAATGTGACAGTTTCTCCCTGTTCTTCTCTCTTCCTCTTCAGTCTTCCTTCATGCATGAACTATCTCACGTCTATCTGCCTTCCTACGTAACTCACCATATATAGTGTGTTATTGTATACAATCAGACATCAGTTTGTATTAGAAGTCATGTTCCTGTCAATAAAAGTGTTTGAGTGTAACTGCTAATGATTAAAGATAACGCATAATAAAGTGTGTTTTCTCTGCCAGGAGTGTACAGATGGCTATGAGTGGGACGTGCAGACTCAACTCTGTCGAGGTGGGTGGAAGGTCATGTGCCAGAGAAAGAGAGAGAGATGATGAGAAAGTGATGCATTCCTCCTCTAATTATCTTGTTGGTTAAATGTCACATGCACAATCCCTCTGTCCCGCCCCTGTGTCTGGCTGCATCTTTGAATTTTAAAATACACTGTGTCCTGAGTAGACGCAACACGTTAAAGCGCAGATGATTAAAAGGAGATGTAGATGTAAAACTGAGCAGTTTTTTTTCATATAAATGCAAGACTAAATTATGTGGATTATGTATATTATGTCATGTTTTTCGATGTTAAAATACTTTCTCTCCCAGTTTAATATTCCAGATACAACACATCCTAACCAAGCACAAAGCAAAAAAAAAATTAAATGAGCAACAAGCAATAAATTCATTTAATCTGAGATTTTGTCCTAACCAAGAAATAATGTTGTTGGTTGACTAGCCTCTTTTTCTGCAGCTTGCGGTAACTTCACCCATTTTGAAATCTGATTGGTCCAAACCCCCTTCACTGTCTCATCAAATGTCTTTTGATTGGTTAATAATATTAGGTGGACATACAAAACCTTCCTATATATACAGTGGCATGCGAAAGTTTGGGAACCCCTTGCAGAATCTGTGAAAATGTGAATAATTTTAACAAAATAAGAGAGATCACGCAAAATGACTGTTATTTTTTATTTAGTACTGTCCTGAGTAAGATATTTTACATAAAAATGTTTACATTTAGTTCACAAGACAAAAAAATTGCTGAAATTATTCAAATAACCCCATTCAAAAGTTTGGGAACCCTTGGTTCTTAATACTGTGTGTGGTTACCTGGATGATCTACCACTGTTTTTTGTTTTGTGATGGTTGTTCATGAGTCCCTTGTTTGTTCTGAACAGTTAAACTGAGCACTGTTCCTCAGAAAAATCCTCTGTGTCCTGCAGATTCTTCAGTTTTCCAGCATCTTTTGCATATTTGAACCCTTTCCAGCAGTGACTGTATGATTTTGAGATCCATCTTTTCACACTGAGGACAATTGAGGGACTCAAACACAACTATTAAAAAAGGTTCAAACATTCACTGATGCTCTAGAAGGAAACACGGTGCAGTAAGAGCCTAAACTTTTGAACAGGATGAAGATGTCCCAATTTTTCTTATTTTGCTGAAATATAATTTTTTATTACATTCACTGATGCTCCAGAAGGAAACACGATGCATTAAGATCCCCCCCCGGATCTTAATGCATCGTGTTTCCTTCTGGAGCATCAGTGAATGTTTGAACCTTATTTAATAGTTGTGTTTGAGTCCCTCAATTGTCCTCAGTGTGAAAAGGTATTAAGAACCAAGGGTTCCCAAACGTTTGAAGGGGGTTATTTTTTATAATTTCAGCTATTTTTTTGTCTTAGGGGTGCTGTGTGTACATTAATGAGGAAAAAAAATTAACTTAAATGATTTTAGCAAATGGCTGCAATATAACAAAGAGTGAAAAATTTAAGGGGGTCTGAATACTTTCCGTACCCACTGTATATATATATATATTTTAAAGAATGTTGGTAACTGAACAGTTTTGGTTATAAAAATGTTTTAAATCTAAGATATTTCTCAAATATCTTCTTTTATGTTCCACAGAAGAAAGAAAGTCATTTAGGTTTTGAATGACATGAGTGTGAGTTAATGTAAATGCGAGTAAACAGAATTTAAATTTTTGGGTGAACTATCCCTTTAAGTATTGATAGAAGTATAGATAACAAAAGATGATACAATTTGAGTTGCTAAAGAGTGAAAGATAATTGAAAGTTAAAAAAAGAACTGCTGTTCTTTTTTCTTTTTCTTATGTTGTTTATACAGTATGTATGTTTGTATATTTGTTTCATATGTCTAGTATTTAATAAAAAAAATAAAAATAAAAAGGACATACAAATTACTTGTAAAGCTAAATTCTGTTCTCTATTTTACTTAGACATAAACGAGTGTGAGACTATACAGCAGGCTTGTCAGGGAGAGATGAAATGCTTTAATCATTATGGTGGTTACCTGTGCCTTCCTCGCTCTGCCTCCGTGATCACTGCACCTGAGCCCTCCAGCCAATCAGAGCCCAGTGTTCATGTGGAGCGTAACGAGGCCTTTAACCCCTGTCCTGTAGGCTACAGGGCTCAAGGAGATACCTGCGTGGGTGAGTTATTTAAGGCCAAATGTAGGGAAAGCCTGTTCATATGGTTTTATATTGTGTATGTGCATGAGTATGATGTCCTGAAGCTCTTCATCATGCTTTGGACAGACATTGATGAGTGTGAATTGGACATGCATGACTGTCAGCCCAGCCAGGAATGCGTCAACACTGTGGGCACCTACACCTGTCAGTGCCCTGACGGCTACAGCAAGATTGGCATAGAGTGTGTGGGTAAGAGAAGAAATGATGTGTCTTAACATCTGTCTTTAATATATGGATGCATCTTTTCTGTTCTGCAGTCTACAGTAAGTATTTCCTCTCATCTGTTAGATATCGACGAGTGCAGGTACAGGTACTGTCAGCATCGCTGCGTGAACGTGCCAGGATCTTTCTCTTGTGAATGTGAGCCTGGCTTCCAATTGGCAGGAAACAACAGATCCTGTGTTGGTAAGTCCTTAAAGCAGATACATTTTCCAGCAATCAAAACTTCCTTACACACTAATATAGTCTTTTTTTTTTTTTTTCAAAACCGGGTCATTTTCTTTATTCCATGGAGCAAGAAAGGATATGAAAAATGAATGGGGTTGGGTCTCTTGAACTCCAAAAATAACAGAAAAATAGCATAAAATTAGCATATAAGTAGTTCATATGATTTGTGCTCTATGTGATAGCTTTGTATGAGGAACATGCCATGTTTGATGTCAGAGCAGATCGGTTTTGTTTGTTGGTGATGTTTGTTTTCATTGACGCCCATACATATATTTAACATTTGTGAAATTTGAGGGCAAATAACGATTTAAATTAAGTCTGTTTCTCTAACCAAATAATATTGTATAACTTCAGAATATTTTGGAATGTAGCACACAAGTCATATGTATTGTTGTACATATGTACAGCAGCACGTGTACCTATTCACTTGTTGTATGAAAATAGCAGCATGAACATACTTCAAAATTTCTCCTTTTGTCTTTTCTAGAAGAAAGAAAGTTATACAGGTTTGAAATGGCATGACAGTCCTAGCAAACATGGCTCCTTCCCCTAACTTTAGCATATTTTGTGAATTATAATCTAAGAACATTCTCTGTAGTTTTGTTTTTTAAACCAATAACTAACCTTCCCAGAACATTACAGGGATTTTCTTTAACAACCTATAGACAACCTATACATAATATTATCTATTAGTTATTTTAGGATTTATTTTATTTAACCATAAACTAACCTTTCCAGAAATTTACAGTTTTTTTTTTTGACAAACTAAAGAGAACCTAAACAGAACATTCTCTAATGTTTATTTTTAGGGTGTATTTTATAACCATGAACGTTGCAGAGTTTTTTTGTGACAACCTAAAGAGAACATATATAATGTTTTATTTTTATCACCATAAACTAACCTTCCCAGAACACTGCACATGCAATTGTTTTATTATTTTTGGGTGAACTTTGCTTTAATGCAAAGTTTTAAGGTTTTTTTTCAGTACATAAGCTTCTAACATCTCTGTTCTTTGTCATCAGATGTAAATGAGTGTGAGATGGGAGCACCTTGTCAACAAAGATGTTACAACAGCTATGGTACGTTCCTGTGTCGCTGTGATCAAGGCTATGACCTGGGACCCGATGGCTTCTCATGCAATGGTTAGTGCGTAAGACATCACCCTAATAGTTTTTGACCAATTGATGATGGACTGAACGTAACTGTTTTCTTTCTCTCCTCCCAGATATTGATGAGTGCAGCTATTCCAGTTTCCTTTGCCAGTTTCAGTGTGTGAACGAGCCTGGAAGATTCTCCTGTGTTTGTCCAGAAGGTTACGAGCTAGTAGGAACACGACTCTGCCAGGGTATTGAAACAAAATCCCTGTTTTTTACACTTGACTCTTACAATCACATTTCACTTGGTTTGAGTTTGTCATAACAATTCTGTGTGTAGATGTGAATGAGTGTGAGACAGGCACTCATCAGTGTGGGGAGGGACAGGTCTGTGTGAACATCCATGGTGGACATCAGTGTGTCAACTCCAACCGCTGCCAGGACCCCTACGTCCAGGTCTCAGAGAAGTGAGCCATTTCGATTTGTGTAAAGGCAACTCATAATTGACTCAAAATCATATTTTGGCACTTTTTATTATTTTAACACCCCTCTCCCTTTTACCTTGTGTCACTTTCTTTCTGTCCAGTCGTTGTATATGTCCAGTGGTGAAGCCAGAGTGTCGTGACCTGCCCTTCTCCATTGTGCATCGATACATGAGCATCACCTCCGAACGCTCGGTTCCCTCTGACATCTTCCAGATCCAGGCCACCAGCGTCTATCCTGGAGCCTACAACTCCTTCCGCATTCGTTCTGGAGATGAAAATGAAGAATTCTACATACGGGTTAGTCAGAGACACACAACACCCTTTAAACATCAGTTTCATAACTTATGTGTGCTAGAGTAAATACTGGTGAAAATTGCATTCTCTTTTTATTATTATTACACTATCATTCATTTGGGTTCAGTTGGATAATTTTTTTGAAAGAAGTCTCTTATGGTCGCCTGGGCATTTATTTGATCATAATACAGTAAAACAGTAATATTGTGAAATATTATTACAATTTTAACAATTGTTTTCTATTTGAAAAACAATTTTGTTTTTTCTTCTATTTTGAAATTCTATTATATTTGAAAATGTAATTTATTCCTGTGATGGCAAAGCTGAATTTTCAGCAGCCATTACTGCAGTCTTCAGTGTCACATGATGCTTCAGAAAGCATTCTAATATGTTAATTTGGCGCTCAAGAAACATTTCTTATTATTATCAACGTTGAAAACAGCTGTGCTGCTTAATAATTGTGTGAAAACCATGTGGAAAATTCTGTGAAATTTGTAAATTTAAGATTATTTGATGAAAAGAAACCGTTGATGAAAAAAATGATTTTGTAACATTACTGTCTATACTGTCAATTCTGATCAATTTAATGCATACTTTCTGAATAAAATTTTAATAAAAAAAAAAAACTTAATGTCCCCAAAACTTAAACAATATATATATATATATATATATATATATATATATATA